GACTGGAGGTGCAAGCCTCCGGCTGCCGGGTCCGTTTCCACCCCCCCACTCCAGGACCGGTCGCCTGCTCCCTTCCCCTCCCCCACCACCCACTCCCAACAGGCACTGAGGGGAATGTAGGGTTGCCAGCTCTAAGGAGGGAAATACCTGGAGGTTTGGGGGGTGGATTCTGTAGAGGGTAGCATTGGGTGGGGGGGTGGAAGGACTCAGCAGGTATAATGTCATAGGGTCTACCCTCCAAAGCATCCATTTTCTTCAGGGGAACTGATCTCTGTCATCTGGAGATCAATTGTAACAGTGGGAGATCTCCAGGTCCCACCTGGAGATTGGCAACCCTAGGGGAAAGTCAGCTGCACAGCAGGGGGTTGAAGAGAATTTGAATTAGCACCAGAGCTTTAAGAGCTCTCCAGCTGTCACCTGGAGACTGGCAACAGCTTGTCTGGAGTGTGGGCAGTATGGCATTGTATCTGTCTGAGGTCCCCCTCTTCCTCCTCCTCCTCCTCAGACCCCACCCTCAGCAGGCTTCATCCCTAAAATATCCTGGAATTTTCCAACCTGGAGTTGGCAACCCTATGCCCCCCCCCAGCCTCTGCCTAGAGAAAGGGCAGTCTTTCCCTGCAGTGGGAACCAAAGCAGCTGTCATCATTCTCCTCTCCCCCTATGAGGTACGTTAAGGTTGAAAGTGTGTGAATGGTCCATAATCCCCCAGGCACATGAATGGAGTGTAGTCCAATCAGCTTCCATATGCAAATAACCTTGGAACGCTGGGCGGGACTGCACAAAGCAGCCAGTCAACCCAGCCAGTCTCTTCTGAGTGGCAGTTTTTCCGGCCTAACACTAAAGGGGCCAAATTTAGAATGTTCATATAGAATGTTCTTAATTATATATAAGGAGAGATGCATGGAGTGGAGAAAGTTGACCAAGAGAAAGTTTTTTCCTTCTCCCGAAATACTAGAACTGGAGGGCATCCAATGAAGCCGATGGGCTGTAGGTTCAGGGTGGACAAAAGGAAATACTACTTTACACAGAGAGTGGTTAAAATGTGGGATTCGCTGCCGGAGGGTGTAGTGATGGCCACAGGAATCAAGAGCTTTAAAAGGGGATTAGATAGATTCGCGGAGGATAAATCTGTCAGTGGCTACTAGCCATGGTGACTGATGGGAACCTCTGCATTCAGAAGCACTGATTCTCTGAATCCCGGAGTCAGGAGAAAACATCAGGGGAAGGACTCAGCCTGTGTGCCCTGTTGTTGGCCCTCCAGAGGAACTGGTCGGTTGCTGTGTGAGACTGGATGCTGGACTAGATGGACCCTCACTGGTCTGATCCAGCAGGGCTCCTCTGGTGTCCTTATCAGGGGAAGACCTCGGCCTCTAGACCCTGTTGCTGGACCTCCAGAGGAAGTGGTTGGCCACTGTGTGAGACAGGAGGCTGGACTAGAGGGAACTTTGCTGGTCTTGATCCAGCAGGGCTCTTCTTGTGTTCTTAACAAGATGCTGCAATGAAAACAACATTGGCCACACTAGTACGTGGGGGAATAACCGTGCTTTCCACTGCTTAAAGTGGAAAGTGAGTAACTTAGGAAAAAATCCCCTGAAGAAGTGAGTTGTGAAACG